GGGATAGACATGGTCACAAGATGGTACACTGTGGTCATAAGGGGATAGACATGGTCACAAGATGGTAAACTGTGGTCATAAGGGGATAGACATGGTCACAAGATGGTACACTGTGGTCATAAGGGGATAGACATGGTCACAAGATGGTACACTGTGGTTATAAAGAGATGGACATGGTCTGAAGATGATACACTCTGGTCATAAAGGGATGGACATGGTCAGAAGATGGTACACTGTGGTCAAAGGGATGGACATGGTCAGAAGATGGTACACTGTGGTCATAAAGTGATGGACATGGTCAGAAGATGGTACACTGTGGTCATAAAGTGATGGACATGGTCAGAAGATGGTACACTGTGGTCATAAAGGGATGGGCATGGTCAGCAGATGGTAAAGATAATTTAGTTAAACTTGTGGGGGTTTTCTACTTTGATAACAGAGATGAATTGCCTAAAATACACAATGACAGTAAGCACTTAACTAAATATTCTGGGCTACAAAATATAAAAAATATATCTTATTATTATCTTTTGCTAATTTAATGGGCCTGCATCTAAGATTTTGTCCTTTTCATCTCTTGGTTTGGCAGATTTGCAACAAGTGCCTTGATTGGATGAAAAAACCCTGTCTGTGATTGGCTGATTCAACATTAGTGTTAACGAGCAGGTGGACAGGTGGACCTAATAAAGTGGTCGGTGAGTGTACATGTTACTTTTACTTGAGTCGTTTTATTTTGAAGTATCGCTGCTCTTACTTGAGTTAAGTTTCTATAAACTCTACCTGCTGTGAGGAACTTCACTGAATGAAGAACAAACTCGACTCCTACATGAGTAAATCAGGACTGATTATTTTACAAACTATGAAGCCTGATGAAYGGCAGAGAGAGAAAAACCTACAAATATRAATRAAACTCCTGCTSTGTCTGTGAAACAACTTTGTTCTGTTTTATTCACAGCAAAGAAAAGAAGAAGCGTTAAAGCACGCCGTGTAATTTTATCTTTTAAAAGTTAATCGATTTAACCTAAACGCCTCAAATCAGGAGTTTTTATGCCTTTAAGGCGAGCAGAAACCAATTTCAGCCATTTCAGGGAGAGAGGCTGAGAGATGAGCAGAATACTAACCAGATCCAAAACAGCACGGCAGACAAAACTCGCTGTCAGCTGGGATCAGGAGCTCCTCAATATTTATTGCTTATGAATGCCAAGAATGCAATCAGCATATTTTTATCAGCTGTTGATCTTTTCCTTCAGTCACTGTTTGAAATCAGACAGTTTCATAAAAAGGCTTTGGTTTAAGAAACGAGGAAAAAAAGACAGAATCAAGTCGGTCCAATCATCTCCTCCTCCTCCAAAGATCYACCTCAGACCTCTGAGCTGAGATCRAACCGAGACCTGAACCCTCCTGATGAGCAGAAACACCCGGGAGCTTCAGSTCTGCAACAAAATGCTCATTTTCTTTAATCACATTAAACCTGATCAAACCCTTTGATTTACAGAGTAAAACATTAAAAGTGGGTCTCTCGTCTGTTTATTATTTTAACTCTCTCAGGATGAAAAGCTGATGGTTCAGAACTCCTGCACCCTCCAAGGACCAGACCTCGGAGCTGGAGCTGCTGACGGATACAAACTGCTCCCGTGTGAAAACTTGAACCTGTGGCCTCTCATTATCTCAGGAACGTGTTTGTAAAACTGCCTCATCTACACAGTTTAATGAAAACCAGAGGTTTGCTCCTCATTAGTGATGTGTTCGCAGAAAAGTTCAGCAATTAAAGGRTTTCACCTAAACTTTAACAGAGAAATATTTCCATTCATTCATTTATTATCTAACAGCAACAAAACCAGAATTTAAGACTAAAAAACATTTATTTTTGCACATGAATGACTTTTCCATCCTGAAAGGCTGGGTAAATAAACYGATTTAATTGATCTGGGATCKATGTCGTTTAAAGTTGGGAAAATTGATTCATGGAGTATAAGATGGATTTTTCTCTGAAGCTGAGGTKTGTTTCTATATTTTGTCACTCCTGGCTTGCCGTATGTTTACATCTGGTTGATGTTCAGTGCTAACGTTAGCTTCTGACAACAAGTTATCTGGAAGAAAACAACAGAAACTAAAGAATCACAAACATTACAGCTGACTCTCTGCAGAACAAAGATAACAGAGACCATGGAGACTTCTGTTTGTAAAGATTTACTCTGTAGAGGAAAACTACTGGATGTGATGCTGAGTTACATTCACATCATATTCTAGAACTGCGAAGTGGTAGTGATGTAACTCCACAACAAACCAAATGAAACTGCAAATAAACATTGATTTTATTACRTACAGTATTGCACAGAAAACGCACTACTTGCGTGAGTGACTGCACAAAAACATTAAGATCCATAACTAACAGTAAAAGTTATGACGTTAACTCTCTAAAGCTGCGAGTAGTCGCCATCTTGAAATCCAAACTGGGGGTACTCGAATGAGATTTACCCCTGGAGGGGGCGTTCCAGTTTAAATTTACCAATGCATCCAACAACAACACTGTCACTTACAATTCCTTTTTCATTTAAAACCTTTGAAACTTGAGACAGTTTGGTTTCAAGATTAAASTGTTTAATTTACAAGTTTCTCCTTAAAACCTGTTGTTTATGGTGAAGAGAAATAAAGCGAATTTGTATTCTGAAACACAGCTGAACCATTTTCATTATTTAAGAGCAGATTTGATTGAATTGAATCATGATTACTGTATTTATTCATGTATAATACGACCCCCCTTTTTTGAGCTTAAAAAGCATAAAAATTTTAATTCTCAAACTACCTCCAATTTCATCCAGACTTCAAGATTTTTCAGYCTTTGCAGTCTTTATACATATCAGTAAAATGATCATTGGACTGTTCATTTTATTTTAACAACATATGTACTAAAAGRTATTTTGACAACAAATATATATCAGCTGTAGCAGCATCAAATGAATTCTGGCATTTTACACATAGTCCACCAGGAGGCGCCAACACAAAAGTCAGAGACTTCACATGAGATTTGGACCATCCTGTGGAGGAAAAGCAGATTACTTCCTACTCGCGAGCGCCCCCTCTGGTGGGGAAATGTTTTTTCAGGGATACAAACTTTTTTTCAGAACACCGGTAGACGGCAGCCATTACAGACGAACATGTGTTTGTTGTTGTTTGAGGAGCGGCTCGGTCACACACTAATGTCATTAGTTTGTTATTATTACTAAGGTGCAGGACTACTTTTTTTCACATCATGTCTCCTGATGGATCTGTTATTATCTCACTCTGAAGCACAGAGGAGTGTCAGAGGTGAGCTCGCTACAACTGACTTTCACAACRTGGTCTCATTTCCAGACTCAGGCATTTTCTGAATGAAGCCAATATTTCAGTTAAAATTCATAAGTAAAAATATTTATCTGAGTATAGTACTACCCCCCAACTTATGGATGATTTTATGGATTTMATTTTACGTTTTATACTTGAATAAATACGTTAATCGATTCAGAATCTTATGAAGTGAAACTTAATCGATTTAGAGAATTAGCCACGATACCCAGCTGTTAGCTAATGATTCTGTCAAAACAAACTGAAATCTAAATCCTCACTGAGTCCACACTTTACTCCCTAAAAAGTATTTTTGTGTTTCAAATAAACTTTACAACTAAAACACAGTGAGGAAGGCACAGGTGTGTGTTGTTGACCCTGTGTCTGCCTCAGAGATGCTCCAACCTTCAGCTCAGGTCAAACTTTCAGCTAACAGCTCTGTAAGAACCACCTCATGGAGTTAAATCCTTTGTTAACTTTAATATTTCAGAAATTAAACAGGAACAAACTGACTTTGTGGCAGGCTGGTGGTAAATAACAAATTGTTTTGGACCAAATCAAAAACCACGTCCAAAAGATTCCCGTGGGAGACTCCAGCAGCCTGGCAGGGAAACAAAAATCCATTTTGGKTGGTTTAAATCTTTTGCACAGTGCAGTTAAACGTTTGATTTGCTCCTCAGAAAGTGAAATGAGCTCATTTCCTGCAGGCGTCCTGCAGAGCTGGTTTCACTCTGCGTGCAGAGTGTGGGAGACGTTTGTCACCTTTTCTCACAGCAACAAAGAGAGTGCAGAGAACAGAAGCAGGACGTCAGGAAACCCAGGTGACTCCAGAGTTAAAGCAGATTAAAGGCTTTAACTGCAGCCAGAAGAACAAATTATAAACTGTGTGCTGCTCCATGATGCTGATTTTACTATGAACCGCAGATTTAAACCATCTGCAGTTTGTTAAAAAGCTGCGACTTGTGTTCAAATAACAGAAATCTGAAGAATCAAACCAGTTCTGTGAAGAAACACCAGAAGCTGAACTCTTCCTCCTTTAATTAAATTAAAAAATAAAATCTTTGTTGTCAAAAATGTGTGAAACATGAGTCACGTCTCAGCTTCAGGGACAATCAGCTCTTTGCTGAGCTCTGCTCAGACGGCAGCAAAATCAAACACTTTACATTTGGTTAACTTAAAARGGACATTTAAGGAGATTATGTCCAATTTCTACTGCTTATCTGAGAGCACAGGACCAGGAGAGACCTGGGGGACYCCCAAGGTGACCCCAGGCCAGAAAGTGTCCCGTCACATGAACTCATTGTCTCGTTAGAAATAAATGAGTGAAAAAAGAAATGTGAAACCTGAGAGACGAGAAATAATCAGAACATCCCTCACCGTGGTTCGATGCCTTGCTGTGAACAGGTGTGTAATGATTCTTGGAGGTTCTGACCGGCGTCTCGTCTTTGGGCGACCCGTCCATGACTGCGATGTTCTCATGTTCGTACTGAGATATCGGCACCGGTCCTTGTTGCCTCAGAATGTCCGCCAAAGCTCTGGAAAACAAAAAATATCACAGATATGTTTTAAAAAACAAAATCACGTCATGTTATAGACAGAGGACTGTGACTCCGCCCACACAGAGGACTGTTACTCCGCCCACAGAGGACTGTGACTCCTCCCACACACACAGAGCAATGTGACTCCACCCACACAGAGCACTGTGACTCCGCCCATCAAGGCAACACAAGTGATTTTAGAGGTGCCAGGTTTTCTTAAAGGGAATAAAAGTGTGTCAATGTCAGCCCAATGCAAACACTCGGTCCACTTTTCCATAACTTGGTGACTTTGGGAGACACGCGGGGTATTAATAGACGAGCACACTCAAGCTGTTTCCTTTCTGCAGACAGAGACGACCTGATTTTGCCTTGTCCTAGTTGATGCCTCGTCGTCGTGTGCAGCAGCAGCAGCAGCAGCAGCAGCAGCAGCAGCAGCAGCAGCAGCAGCAGCAGCAGCAGGAGGCAACACTCTCAAAGCATTAAGAAGGAGGAGGACTCATCAGAAGTACTTCTCCTTGGTTCTCATCAGATGAAAGCTGCAGGGCTTGTTTGTGTTTGATCCTCATTAAACTTCAGCTGAATGGATTCATTCTGAACTTTGTAAAGAGGAAAACAAACAACTGTTTCTTTAAACACAAGAAACAAAGAGTTGAACCTGGAGGGGTCAAACCTTCAACACTTGGACCATGTTGGACCCAGACTCACAGGCAGGACCTGGTTGTCCACAAACTACAGCAGGACTACAGAGTCCGTCTTCAGATTCTCCATCATCTGGTTCTCTGCAGCAGCTCAGGACCAGGACCTGAACCACGTCCATCAGGACCAGGACCTGAACCACGTCCATCAGAACCAGGACCTGAACCACGTCCATCAGGACCAGGACCTGCACCATGTCCATCAGGACCAGGACCTGAACCACATCCATCAGGACCAGGACCTGAACCACATCCATCAGGACTAGGACCTGAACCACGTCCACCAGGACCAGGACCTGAGGTCACATTAACAGTCTGTCCCTCTGCTGCAGGACACATCAACAGCTGGGACCCCCACAGACTCGTCCCCCATCAAACATTACATTAATGTCAGGGCATCAGGGGTATCAGGGGCATCCAACTGGTGGCCCGCAGGCCACATCAGGCCCGCCTGAGCCCAAACCCTCGATGTCCTACTTTAATTCCTAAAAGCTTTTATTTTTAGTTAAACACAGACATGTTTGGTGTCTACAGAAACATCAGAATCGAAGCTAAAAGCTGCTGAAAATCATTTCTATGAACATGTGAGTTAAAACTACAGGCAGCTGAAGATRAAATTAAAGCAGGTAAAAATAAAACCAGTTAAATGTGTCATCAGAGACGTGAAAATAAAATTTGTTTGGAACAGGAGGCATAATGTGTTAATTTTGTTTTTGATATTGTTTAAACTGTATGTTGTCTTCATGATTAAATGCAGCAAAATAAACTATTTCAAATGAAACAGATCGTTGTAATGTTTGGTTTATTTACAAAATAACTGATAAATGATTTTTAGTAAAATTACAAATCCTCCAAAAAATGACCGTAACCAAGTAAATATAAACATCTGGTGAAATCAGTCTGAGACATTATGGAGCTCTGGTTGAATCTGCTGCTGAAGAGACGCTAAAGAGCAGCAGCTACAGACCGGCAGCTAAAAACAAGCAGCTAAAGACCAGCAGCTAAAGAGAAGCTAAAGAGCAGCAGCTAAAGAGAAGCTAAAGAGCAGCAGCTAAAGACCAGCAGCTAAAGAGCAACAGCTAAAAACAAGCAGCTAAAGAACAGCAGCTAAAGACCAACAGCAAAAGAACAGCAGATAAAGACCAACAGCTAAAGACCAACAGCTAAAGACCAGCAGCAACAGACCAGCAGCTAAAGAGAAGCTAAAGAGCAGCAGCTAAAGAGCAGCAGCTAAACACCAGCAGCTAAAGAGAAGCTAAAGACCAGCAGCTAAAGACCAGCAGCTAAAGACCAACAGCTAAAGACCAGCAGCAACAGACCAGCAGCTAAAGAGAAGCTAAAGAACAGCAGCTAAAGAGCAGCAGCTAAAGATCAGCAGCTAAAGATCAGCTGCTAAAGAGCAGCAGCTAAAGAGCAGCAAAAGAGCAGCAGCTAAAGAGCAGCAGCTAAAGAGCAGCAGCTAAAGAGCAGCAGCTAAAGAGCAGCAGCTAAAGAGCAGCAGCTAAA